ACGCACAACTAGTGTCGACCGGACCACCTTTCTCTCACGGTACTTTCTCTCGAGAGCTCTTTGGGTGGCAATGAATGGGGAATGTTAGGAAAATACCTAGGAAAAGGCCAGGTTGAGTGCCATTGTGTGGGCTTTCCCCAGGGGGGAAATTATTCTAGGGGTATTGGAGATGCCTGGTACCCCTCAAAAACGAAAGCGGACAGCTAATCACCAAATTAGCCCAGAAATTGGTAAGAATTGCCCAAAAAACAAATGAAACCCCACACATTTCCCACCCATTCCCACTATGGCCAACGGGAGTTTTTTTGGAAGGAAATGAAGGGAATATGGAAGAAATAGGGGCGCGGACGCAAAGTTGGGAAAACCTCTAGAAGAGAGCCAAGTTGTTTTTTTTTTCTCCGGGCTTTCCCCAGGGGAGAAGTTATTCTGGAGGTATTGGAGATGCCTGGCACCCCTGAAAAACAAAAGGGGGCAGATGCTACAATCACAAAACAAATCCAGAAATTGGCAAAAAAATTAACCAGTGACAACCAAATATTTTGCTTTTCCCACTCATTCCCACTAAGGCCAGAACCACCAAACTAGCCCAGTTTCAAACACCCAAAACAAACTAAAACCATGTTCAGCCAGTGGGTTACTGAGAGGAAATTTGTTTAAAGATACTATCCTGACTCTTCTTGATCCTATCTGAGTATGTTGAAAATTGTTTAAATTTGTGCCCCAGCTCTGCAAGAAGGGAAATCGTTCTCGGCCGTTTGCGCGCAACTGCTTACGATCACTTGCGTTTGGCTAGAAATAGACTATACCGGTATCATTTTGATGGAAATTATTCCATTTTTCCATATGAACTCATGAGTTCTTAGAATAATTTATTTTTTTGAACTCAACGGGTGCCGGAATAATATTATAATTATTCTGAGGTATGTTGACGGGGGTATCCCCTTAAGGTATCCCTCATTATTTTATATGAGCTACAGCCAAAATTTACGGCAATGGAAAGTAGTATTCGAGGCGTCTCTATTTTTTGGAAATTGAGCTGAGGCTTGGAAAACGATAATACA